CCCCCTCCCCCCCGCGCGCTGCTTGTGGTTGATAGATGTCATCGCGTCGGTCCAGGACCAAGAAGAACAAGGATGCCGAAGAGGCTGAAGAGTCCGCTGCGCGGGTGTGGGTGCCTGACGCAACGAGCGGTTACGTGCTAGCGGACCTGATCGAACCCAAAGAGGTGAGCGGGCTGAAGAGCGCGAGCGTGGCAAAGGTCAACGTCCTCGGCCAGGAGAAGGAGCTCGGAGCGGACGAGGTGTTTGCGGCGAATGGGCACCGGTTTTCACGGGTGCCGGACAACGCGCAGCTGGGCCACCTCTCCGAGGCCACCGTCCTGCACAACCTCAAGGAGCGGTACGCGTCCGACTCGATCTACACGTACTCGGGCCTGTTCTGCGTGGTGATCAACCCGTACAAGCTGCTCCCGATCTACACGCCCGACGTGGTGCAGGCGTACAAGGGCAAGCGGCGCGAGGAGATGGAGCCGCACGTCTTTGCGGTCGCGGACGAGGCGTACCGGGCCATGATGGGCGAGCACAAGAACCAGTCGATGCTCATCACCGGCGAGTCTGGTGCAGGCAAGACGGTCAACACCAAAAGGTCATCCAGTACCTAGCGTTCATTGCCGGGCGGCAGACGGCAGACGGCTCGCGAGGAGAGCTCGAGGAGCAGCTCGTCCAGGCCAACCCCATTCTAGAGGCGTTTGGCAACGCCAAGACCATCCGCAACGACAACTCGTCGCGTTTTGGCAAGTTTGTCGAAATCCAGTTTACCAAAGACGGGCTCATTGCCGGCGGCACCATCACCTCGTATCTGCTGGAAAAGTCCCGCGTGGTCTTCCAGGCCGAAAACGAGCGCAACTACCACATCTTTTACCAGCTCCTGGCCTCGGGCGACGCCGAGCTCCTCGACACGCTCAAGATGCAGTCGGTGAACGACTTCCGCTGGCTCTCGGCCGACTACGCCCATGTGGAGGGCATGGACGACGCCGCCGAGTACCGCATTCTCGAGGCGGCGTGGGAGACCATGGGCGTCTCGCGCGAGCAGGTGCTCCTCACCTACCGCGTCGCGGCCGCCATCATGCACCTTGGCAACGCCACCTTTACCGAGTCGCGGCGCTCCGAGGATGCGCAGGCCGATGACGCCTGCCGCGCCGCCCTCGACACGGCGTCGGAGCTCCTGGGCCTCCCGGCCGGCGCGCTTGCCAAGGCCATCCTCAAGCCGCGCCTCAAGGCCGGCCTCGAGTGGGTCAACAAGTCGCGGACTGCCGCCCAGGCTATGCATGTCGTCGAGGCTCTCGCCAAGTCGCTTTACGACCGGCTCTTTGCCTGGATCGTCGACCGCATCAACGTCTCGCTCCTCAACCGCCACAAACGCGAGCTTTTTATCGGTGTCCTCGACATTTCCGGCTTTGAGATCTTTGAGGTCAACTCGCTCGAGCAGCTCTGCATCAACTACACCAACGAGAAGCTGCAGCAGCTCTTCAACAACCACATGTTCAAGCTCGAGCAGGAAGAGTACCTCCGCGAGGGCATCGAGTGGGACATGGTCGACTTTGGCCTCGACCTCGAGCCGACCATCGAGCTAATCGAGTCGTCGTCGTCGCCCGTCGGCATTCTTGCGCTCCTCAACGAGGAGTGCACCTTCCCCAAGGCGAGTGACGAGACCTTTGTCGAGAAGCTCGTGGCCAACCTCTCGGGCGCTGTCCCGTTTGCCGTCCCCAAGTTCTCCAAGACCAAGTTTTCAGTCGCCCACTACGCTGGCACTGTCGAGTACTCGGCCGACGAGTGGCTGGAGAAGAACCGCGACAAGCTCGACGACCCCATCACTGTTGTCATGCAGGACTCGTCCATCGAGTTTGTGGGCGACCTTTTTGCCGACCTTCATCCCGACCGCGAGGGCGCACGCTCAGTCAAGCGCGGCAAGAAGGCGCGTGCCCGGCCCACCATTGCTGCCAACCACAAGTCGCAGCTCCTTGCCCTCATGACCACCCTCCGCTCCACCACGCCGCACTTTATCCGCTGCATCAAGCCCAACGAAGAGAAGCGTCCGGGTCACATCGATGCCCACATGGTGCTCGACCAGCTGCGGTGCAACGGGGTGCTCGAGGGCATCCGCATCTGCCGCAAGGGCTTCCCCAACCGCGTGCCCTTTGCCGAGTTCCGCGACCGCTACAAGATCCTCGCCCCGGGCAAGGTCCCCGACTCGATGCTCGACTCGAAGAAGGCATGCACCATCATCATTGAGCACGTCGGCATGGAGGCCTCGCAGTACCGTATCGGTCACACCAAGGTCTTCTTCAAGGCTGGCCGCCTGCCTGAGCTCGAGGAGCTCCGCGACCGCATCCTCTCCAAGATGCTTGTCAAGATCCAGGGTGTCATCCGCGGCCACCTCGCCCGCAAGCAGTACCAGATCACCCTCACCACATCTCGCGCCACGGCCCTTGTCCAGCAGTCGATTCGCTCGTTCATCAAGGCCCGCGACTGGGGCTGGTGGCAGCTCTTTGCCAAGATCCGGCCCATGCTTAAGCACCAGGACATCGAGGCCGAGATGGCCGAGAAGGAGGCCGCCGTCAAGGAGGCCGAGCGCAAGCTGAAGGACTCGGAGGCCAAGGCGCAGACGCTCTCCGCTGAGCTCGCCGACGCCGCCATCAAGCTCGACGACGCCCGCGAAAAGTTCAAGCGCGAGAAGGATGCGCTCCGCGACAACTACGAGGCCCAGCTTGAGGATCTCTCGCACAAGAACGCGCAGCTTGTCGACGCCCGCGCCACCGACCGCGCCGCCGCCGCCGCCCAGCTCCAGCTCGCCCGCGACGACGCTGCCGCCAAGATCGCTGCCGCCAAGGACGCCGCAGCCCGCGCCGCCGACGATGCCAGCCGTGCCCGTGACCAGGCCGCCGCCGATGCTCTCGCCCTCGAGCAGCAGCTACGCGCCCAGGCCAAGGCCGACGTGGACGCCGCCAACAAGGCTGCTACTGCCGCCGCCGACGCCGTTGCCCGCAAGCACGACACTGCTCTCCGTGAGCTCTCGGCTCGCCTCGAGAAGGCCAAGGCCGACGCCGCCCGCTCGTCGGCAGCCTCGACTGAGGCCTCGGCCGAGATCGACACGCTCCGTGCCAAGCTCCGCGATGCCAACGCGCTCATCGCCAAGCTCGAAGCCGACCTCGACGACACAGCCACCAAGCTGTCGTCGGCCGACTCGGCGCGCGCCGCGCTCGCCACCCAGGTCTCTTCGCTCGAGTCGCAGCTGACCGCCGAGTCGTCGGCCAAACTCGCCATGGAGCAGGCCAAGCTCTTGTTGGAGACCCAAGCTGCCGACCTCGCTGCCCAGCTTGATGGCGCCAAGTCGTCGCTGGCGACCGCCGACGCCAAGAACAAGTCGCTCCTCGCCGAGCTTAGTGAGGCGCAGGATGATCTCGCGCTCGCCACCCGCAAGGCGCTTGACGCCGAAAAGACGACCAAGAAGCTCAAGAAGGAGCTGGCCGAGGTCCAGGCGGCTGCCACTGCAGCTGCCTCGGACGCCGCCCGCTCCAAGCGTGCTGCGTCCAAGGCGGCGCGTGAGGCCCGCGCCGCCAAGGCCAGCGCGCCGGCCGCCGAGTCGGCTGCTCCGGCCCGGGCCCGTGTCGGTGCCGGTGCCGGGTCCGGCGACACCAACGCCACGCTCAAGATCAACAACCTCAAGCTTGCCCACGACGCGACGCTCCGCCGGCTCGACGCCGCGCAGGACCAGATCGAGGCGCTCTCTGCCGAGATTGACAGTGCGCGGGCCGAGACCCGCGACGCTCTCAACGATGCAGCGGCGGCCGAGAACGCCAAGGCGGTGCTTGTGGTCGAGCTTGCCGAGGAGGAGGCACTGGTCGACGGGCTCCGCGCCGAGCTCGAAGGCGTACGCGCCGAGCTCGACGCGGCGCGCGCCGCCGCCACCGACGCCGACGCGCACACCGAGGCCATTGTCGCCCGCAAGGCTAAGCGGTGGCAGATCTCGCTGGAGCAGACTCGCGAACAGCTCGAGGACGCGCTGACCGACAAGGCCGTCGCCGAAGCTGCGCTCGATGCCGAGAAGCGGGCGCACTCGGAGACCAAGGCCGAGCTGCAAGAGCTGATGGTGGCGTCGTCGACGGCAACGAGCTCGGTCTCGGGCCTCCGCCGCGAGCTGGCGCCGCCAAGGAGGCGGCCGAGGCGCTGTCGCGCGAGCGCGACGCGGCACGGGCAGCGGCCGCAGAGGCCTCCGCTGCGCTCGGCACGACTCGTGAGAAGCTCGCGCTCGACACAGTTGCTGCGTCGGAGAACAACCGGCTGACATCGTCGCTTCAGGCCGACATCGAGCTGTACAAGAGCCAGATCGCCGATGCTGCTGCGGCGTATGCCGAGCTCGAGGCTGCACTTCACGCGGCAGAGGAGTCTGTGTTTGACGCCGAGGCCCGGGCCGACGAGGAAGAGACCGAGGCGGCTGCGCTGCGCGAGGAGAACATGCAGCTGCTGGAGGACATTGCGATGCTCAAGGGCTCGAGCGCGGCGTCGAGCTCGGCGCTGGTGGCACAGCAGGAGGCTATCATCGAGGGCATCAACAAGGAGCTCGACATTCTCCGCGAGCAGCTCGATGACGAGCAGCGCAAGGTGATGGCGGCGGAACGCGCGCGGCGGACGCTCAAGACCAAGGCTGACGAGGCCGAGGACGCGCTGCTCACGGCACAGAGCTCGCTGGCGTCGGCGACCGAGTTGCGCACGGCGCTCGAGGCCGAGCTCCGATCGCTCCGCGCGTCAGCGGATGCGGCCGAGGAGCGGGCGGTGGCTGCGCAGGTCGAGCTCAAGGGAGCACAGACGCAGATTGCCGAGCTGGAGAGCCAGCTCAAGGCTGCCCGCGATGCGACGGCGGAGCAGGTGCGGGCACGCAAGGACGCACAGGCGGCGCTCAAGGACGCCAATGGCGAGCTCGACGAGCAGATTGCCATCACCGAGTCGGTGGAGCGGTCGAAGCGGCTGCTGCAGGAGGAGATCAACCAGGTGAAGGAGGAGCTCGACGACGCGCGCGAAGAGCGGGCCAAGGTCGAGTCGTCGCGGACCGAGCTGCAGGGCAAGATTGCCGAGCTGCAGGCCGAGCTGGCGCAGCGCGACAACTCGAAGGAGGTCGAACTCGCGTCGCAGCTCCGCGACGCCAAGGCGCAGCACGCGCGGCTGCAGCTTGTGGTCTCGTCGCAGGAAGGCTCGGCCAACATGCTGCAAAAGTCAGTGAGTAAGGCTGAGAGTGCAAGCAAGGCAGCGCGCGATGCGCAGGCGGCTGCCGAGGCCAAGGCGCGCGCGGCGAGCAAGGCGGCGACCAAGGCTGCGGCCGAGACTGCAGCGCTGCAGGCCGAGGCGACGGCCAAGGCCAAGGCGGTCAAGGTGGCCGAGCGACAGAAGGCGTCGCTGGTGACCGAGCTCAATGAGCTCAAGGCCCGGTACGAGGTGCTCTCGCGGACAAAGCGGTCTGTCGAGTCGTCCAAGACTGCGCTGGAGAACCAGCTTGAGGACTTGCGCGACGCGCTGGCCGTTGAGGTGCAGGCCAAGACCAAGGAGCTTGCGGCGCGGCGGGCGGCCGAGGAAGAGATTGCGCGACTCTGCGAGGAGGCTGACTCCGGCTCGCGGGTGGAGGAGATGCTGGACGAGCTGCGGCGCGAGCATATTCTGGAGCTCGCCGCCGAGCGCAAGAAGCTCGAGGCTGAGGCTGCGGCGCAGATCGAGGTTGTGGCCAAGGCAAAGCGCGAGGCGCGAGCGCAGGCCGACGAGCTCCGCGAAGGACTCGACGAGGCTCGCAACGGAGCCACCATTCTCTCGAAGCAGGTCGAGCGGTCAAGCTCGGAGCTCAAGGCGGCGCGGGCCAAGATTGAGACGCTCAAGAAGGAGGTCTCGCGGAGCGAGGTGGCGCTCCGCGAACTTCGCATGCGCAACAAGGAGCTGACGAACGAGGCCGTGTCTTCGCGGACGATGCTCGACAACACGGTGGCGGACAAGCGGGCGCTGATGCTTCAGGTCAACGACCTGGCGTCGCGGGCCGAGAATGCCGAGCGCGAGGCGGCGGCGGCGCAGCTCTCGGGTGCACGACTGCAGACCGAGCTCGAGGCGTTGCAGGACGAGTACGACGAGTTGGCGGCGTCGGTGGACGAGGTGACCGAGCGGGCGGCGCTGGTGGCGCAGGAGCGCGACGCGCTCGCTGAGCGGCTGGCCGAGGAGGAGACTGAGCGGCTGGCGTGGGCGTCGACCAAGGACGAGCTGGAGGCCAAGTGGGAGGCCGAGCAGGCGGCGCTCGATGATCGGATTGAGGAGCTGCTGGAAGACCTCGACGAGGAGCGGAGCCGGGCGTCCAAGGACGCGCGGATCGCCAACGAGCGGCTGGACGCGGCGGAAGCGCGGGCGCTCTCGCTCGAGTCGGAGCTCCGCGCGGCTGTCATTGAGCTCGAAGACACCCGGCTGGCGGCAACCCGCGCCGAGACGCTGGCGGCGACAGCGACCAAGGCGGCGAACAAGGCCGAGAGCGAGGCCAAGATCCTCGCTGCCTCGCTGCAGCTCGCGGAAGAGGCTGCAGCCAAGGCGAACGAGGCGGCGCGCGGAGCCGAGGGCGCCAGGGAGGACGCGCTTGGGCAGCTCGAGTCTGCGCGCAAGACCGCGGCCGACACGACGGCGGCGCTCGAGTCACGGGCTGACCAGATGAGCCTTCTGCAGCACGAGCTGGCGGCGGAGCGTGCGGCGCTCTCTGAGCTGCATTCGATGGCGGTCGACCTCGAGACCGAGGTCGACACGCTCCGCGGCAAGGTAGCCGAGGCCGAGGACGCTGCCGAGGCAGCCGAGGCGGCGCGGGTGGACCTGGAAGCGCAGGTCGAGACGCTCCATGTCGAGCTCACGGCGCTCGACGCGTCGAACGCTGCACTGGAGAAGGCGCGCATGGAGACTGCGCGCCAGAACCGCGACCTCAACGCACGGGTCGAGCGCGCGGCTGGCCTCGGCCGGTCCGCGCTTGCAGGCTCGGTCAAGCGGCTGGAGGCCAAGATCGAGAGCCTTGAGGCGAGCGTGGCCTCACTCAAGGCCGACAAGCTTGCGCAGCAGAAGCGGGCCAAGAAGGCAGAGAAGGAGCAGAAGCGGGCCGAGGCCCGCGGGCGCGAGCTTGAGAAGAAGCTCGCCGCCAAGGACAAGATCGTCGCCGAGAAGGAGCGACGCATTGTCCAGGGCCGTGACGACCTCTCGCAGCTTGTCCGCGAGAACTCAAAGCTCTCGATGGAGGTCAAGAAGCTCAAGTCGCAGACTTCGGAGCTCCGCGAGAACGTCATGGTCCTGCAGCACACTCAGCAGCGCGGACTAGTGGAGGCGTAGATGCGCGCGGATAGTAAATGACACACGTTTTACAGCAGCCAAGCATGACGAGCGCTAGTGGGTCTGTGCCTTGACCAGCTCGCGGACGCCATGCACGCCACCGGATGGCGCGAGGAAGGTCCGTAGGCGGACGTTGAGTGCAGGGCCCTCGGAGGGGATGATGAACGCGTCGTGGCCAAAGACGGCATCGAGCGTCTCAAAGTGGACCGGGGTGCCAGCCGATCCCAGAGCAACCGCCACCCGCTCAAGCTCGGACGGCGGGATGAGAAAGTCTGTGGCGTAGGCCAGGAGGAGAAACTGCTTGGAGGGCGGGATGTGGCCGAGGGCGGCGGCCATGGACCGAGCCCTGGCCCGCGGCCCCGAACCCTCCTCGGCCACGCCCATCAGCGCCGGCAGCGACATCAGATCCATGCACTGCGAGAGTGCCAGGTAGCACTTTGGATCATACGCTTGAGCTACAAACTTGTCGGCGTGATGGGAGAGGTAGTCCTCGACCTCGAAGACCGGCGGCTGCGAGGGATGTGCGGTAGCCGAGACTGGGCGCCAGGCAAAGCGCTCATCAAACTCTGCCCGCGACCTGTAGCCGACCATACCCATCATCCTCACTGCCCGCATAGCTGCACTCACCGCGTTTGCCTCGCCCGAGGCTAGCGCCGCGCCAAGGACCGTCCGTTGGACCGACCGCAGCGCGACCGTGGCCGGCGAGGTCTCGCCGGTGGTGGCGAGGGCCACCGCCCTGCGGTAGGCCGAGGGGAAGAGGGCGGCGTAGGCCAGGACAAGCATGCCGCCCATAGATCCGCCCACAAGCGCATGCAGGCCCTGCGGCGCAAGGCCGAGCTCCGGCTCGGTGAGGAGGGCGTGGACGGCCGCTGCCTGTCCGCCAGGCGTGATGACGGGGAACTCGGACGCCAGCAGCTCGCGGTCGGCACTCGCCTTGCTGGGCTGGGCCGCCGACGGCTCAGCGTCGGGAGGAGGCCAAGCGTTTGGAGCTGTCGAGCCAAAGGGTGAGCCGAGCGGAGCGGCCGAGATGACACGGAAGATCGAGGTGTCGATGCCGGCGGACGGGCCTGGGTGGACGACATGCGACCACCAGCCCGATCCTGGCCACGGATGGGGGGCGTGTGCGGCGCATGGCTCAGGAGCGGAGGGGTGTGGCGGGGCCGACATCGAAGGTGCAACATAGACCACCGGGGCACGAGGATCGGGGTTGCCGGTCACGGTGTACGTTATCTTGAGCGGCACGTCGCGGAGCTGCGGAGGGAGCGCCGGATGCGACGAGGCGACCGTCGCCGACGAAATGGTGACCGAGGTCGAAGCGGATGAAAGGCAGACGAGGGGATGCGGCTGGGTACGGAGGCGGGGTAAGCGGGCGAGCCACCGAATCATGATCAGCAGAGAAGTGGGAGTCAAGTGGTGGCGTGCAATGTGGAGCGGGGATTGTGTATTGTCCAGAGGTTTGCGGGGGGGAGCTACTCGCGCGGACTGCCGTAGTCGGTGAGGGCGACGTTGGCGGCAGCGGCGGCGGCGGTGGTGGGCGAGGCGAGGGGCGATGCCGGCGAGGTCGAGGTCGGCGAGTCGAGGCGAGTCGAGGCGGGATGGGGAGATGGCGGGGCAGCGGCCGAGGGCGGACGCGAGCTCGCGTCGTCGTCGATTGCCGAGTCGGCGGTGGAGACGACGGTGGCGCTCCGCGGGAGCGATTTGCGCGAGGGCGACTTACTTGACGACGAGCGAGCGCCGCCGGCGCGGAACTCGCGGACAGGCGAGGCGTATACCTTGGAGTCCTTCTCGATGTCGTCCATGGTGAGCAGGAGCTTGCCGTCCTCGTCAAAAAGATAGCGAGCTGGGTATGCGAGCTCGAGCTTGGCCGAGGCCTCGTCGAGGAGCTCCTTGATGGAGCCGCCGACGATGAGCCGGCCCGAGCCGCGGGTGAGGCCCTCGTTGCGGAAGACACAGACTCTTGTCTTGGCCTTGCGGACAAGGCGATGGTCGGACGGGAGGCGCACAATGGTGGAGCTCTTCTCTCGGAACGACTGCATGAGTGGGACAAAGGTCTCGCCGCACGAGACCCAAGCGACGGCCTCGGACTCGAGGTCGGCGAGCGCGACACACGAGGTCGGCGGGCCGACTCGGTCCATGACGGTAAAGTCGGGCGAGAGGAAGATGTCGACGTCCTTGACTCGCTCGACGGTCTTGACGGTGGCCTTGGGCCGGATGAGGCCCGATGTTTTTTCGCGGCGCCGCTTACCGTCCTTGCCCCTGCCCTTCTGGAGTCGCGCCGAGGCAGCGGCGGAGTTGGGCTCGCCGTCGGCACCGGGCTCGGACCCGGCGTCGGCAGGTGCTTTGTCTGGAGAGGCTGGACTGCGGCCGGCGAGGATCTCCTCAAGGTGTGCGGCGTCCGGGACCCGGGCCGGGCGCGCGGCGCCGGGAACAAGGCGGTCAACCACCTCGCGGCCGTCCTCGACAAACAGGCGCGAGGCGAGGCCGTGTAGAGTGATCTTGTGCTGGGTAGAGTACAGGATCTCCTCGACCTTTTCGCCAACAACCCGGACGCCTTCACGGAACAGCCGCTCGCCATTCTTGAGGACAACCAGCCGCCGCATGTGCTTGTGCTGCGCGAGGATGTGGTCGTCATCCATCCGCCGCACCGTCGACATGATGCCGCGACGCTTCGGGTCGCGGTACGGCTCGCCCTGAGAGACCCAGATGTGTGAGCCGAGCGGGACGTCATCGAAAAGCACAAAACGAACCTCGTCGTCGGACGTGTCGGAAGCGGAGCCAGACTCGTGCCCTGGTCTGTTGCCGGCGTCTGCTTTGTCTGCGTCGTCAGCGCCGCATGATCGCGAGCTGCTCGGCGGCGACGGTGTGCCTGATGATGCGTCGTCGACGCGAGGGACGTTGGCGGCGTGAGACTGCGACTGGGACTGCGACAGTGATTGCGACTTGGACTTGGACTTGGACTTGGCCTTGGATTTGCCCTTGCCCTTGGACTTGGACTTGGACTTGGCCTTGCCCTTGCCCTTGCCCTTGCCCTTGCCCTTGCCCTTGGACTTGGACTTGGACTTGGACTTTGATTTGGACTTTGAGATCTTTGCAGCATTGGCGTCATCGATGGCGTTGTCGGCCCCGTCGGCCTCGACCGCCCCGTCGGCCTCTTCCTACGTACTCGGGGGAGTCCGCACTGGCGCTGCTAGTATCGCTTAGTTCCTCTTGCTGCTCGGCGGCGACACCGAGCGACGAGCGTGCAGCGCGGCGGTCCCAGCGACGACGGACAACCTCGCGCTTGTCCTTGGGCAGCGCCTCGAGCGAGGGGATGATCTCGACGCCGCCGGCGAGAAAGATGCGCTTGCCGGGAGTTGCCAGCTCGAGCTTGAGCGTAGCGAGCTCGATGACTTCGTCAAAGTCGGCGCCGACGACGCGGACTTCGGTGCCGCGGCCGATGGCAAAGCCGTTCTGGTGGGCGTAAAAGTGGCGCTTGGGTTTGCGCAGCAAGCGGTGATCGCTGGCGATGGGGCGCACAGCCGGCTTGATGGGCTCGGGGTCGCGGAAGTCATGGAACGGCCCGCCGGACGTCGCCCACACATGCTCGTTCTTGAGGAGCGACGAGAGAACCACCTTGGTGGCCGACGCAATGGCCTTGGCCTCGTCAGAGCTGTCGACAAAATACTGGCCAGCCTCGGGCTTTTCGCGAACAGGCATGCACTCCATGGGCGGCGCCGAGGGCGAACCGGGCGGCGGGGCGCGGCGGCGCTTGGTGGGCGATGCTGAGCGGCGGCGTGATGGGGTAGGAGCACGGCCCTCATGCGGGACCGGGTTGACGGCAACTAGCTCCGGCGAGGGAACGAGCGCAGCCGGCTCGGCTGCGGCAGCCTCGTCGTCGAGTGAGTCAACGACCTCACGGCCGTCGGCAATGAACAGCCGCTTGGCGCGCGGGGCCATGTCAAGCTTGACCGTCGCTTGGGCGAGGATATCGGCCACAGAACGGCCGGCAAGGTGTGCACCGAGGTGGTGGATGCCGTTGCGGAAGACAACAACCCGGGCCGACGACTCGGGAATGAGCCGCTCGCTGACCTTGACGGCCGGCGTGGCGCGGATACCGGTCTCGTCGGGACTCCGCCACGCCTCGCCCATCGAGCAGAAGACCAGCTCGTCAGTGGCCAGGCTCCGGACGTCGGCCACAGCCTCGCCCTTGGCGTTGAAAATCTTGAACGCGGCCCGCTCCATCTCGAGCTTCACCGTCGCCTCGCGGAGAAGCTCGTCAAGCGAAGTGACTGCAAGCGCCACCACTTTGCTCAGCGAGCCATTGCGCGCAACCTGGACCCGGATGGCCTTGTCGGGCAGGCGGGCCAAGATGGACGACTTGGCCGAGCGCAACGGCGGGGTTGCGGGCGATGCTGCCGTGACCGCACCATCGGCTGATTCGTCCTTGCCCTTACCCTTGGCCTTGGCCTTTTTCTTCTCCTTCTTCTTCTTCTCCTTCTTCTTGCTCTTCTTGCCCTTCTTCCCGTCGTCATCAGCGCCGCCGGTCGAGCTCGTCGACGTGCTTGGAGTCACGGTCTCTACAGGCTGTGCTTGCCTTGCCTTTGTCGGCGATGCCAAGCCACCGCCAGCGCCGCCACCACCAGAAGCGCTTTGAGAGGAAGGAGCAGGCGATCCGCCACGCTTGGTGCTCCGTCTCGGCGGTGGAAGGACCTTGCGGGCGACTTCGTAGCGGACCTTGGAGTCGTGTTGGCAGAGCTGACGACATGGTGCCAGGCTGGTACACTCTCGTAGCTCGGTCAGCCGCAAAGGGGGGGGGGGGGGGGGGGGCAGGCAGTAGTGGGTAGTGGTGGGTGGTGGTGGGGTAGTGGTGGTGGGTGGGGCTTGGCGGGAGGAGTGCTTGGCCTGGTGCTTGGCTGATACGTTTGCTGCTGTTCTCACTGTCGCTGGGAAGGTCCTGGGGCGAGGGCGGCGAGTAACTGCCGCCCGAGCCAACCGACGAACCGGGGGGGATGTCCCGGTGGAGGTGGATTTGTTGGGGGGGTGGGGGGGGGCTAATTTTTTTTATCGGAATATAACTCCCTAATGTCCCCCGGCTGTCAGCTGTGTGGGGGGAGTCGCTCGAGGTCGTGGCGCAGCATATACTGTCCTGGCCGTGTCGAGTGGGTCAAACAATCGACAAGGCAAGATGGGTAGATGTGCGCTACATGTGGATGGTGGTGGACTGAGCGCGGCGGCGTGACGACGACGGCGGTGGGCCGGGGGCGAGCGAGGCAGCGCGTTGCGGCGCACTGGGCTTGCGCTTGCCGTGAAGGACGCGTTGGAGATCGCGCTCGGCCTTTTTGCGAAGCATGCCGCGGGTCAGGACCTGGTCAGAGGCGTCAAGTGCGGCAGCGTCGGGCAGGTTGTCGTCGTCGTCTGCACGCGAGCTGGAGCGTGAGCGCGAGGCGACCGAGTCTGAGCGATCCGAGGCGTCTGGTTTGGTGAGCGGCTCGGATGCACTTGAAAGTTGGACGGCCGGGGAGTCGGCTGCGGCGACGGCGCGGCGGCGGGCGGCGGCCTTTGCGCGGTCGTTTTTTCGAGCGCGGCGGAGGGCGGTGGCGAGCGAGGCCGACGGTGACTTGCCCTTGCCTTTGGTTAAGGCAGCAAAGGTGTCGGGCGAGGCGGTGATGGCACGGGAGGAGGACGATGGATGGGCAAAGGCAACCGAGGGCGTGCGGCCCGGGACACGCATCGAGTGCATGTTGCGCTGGGACGGCGAGCGGCGCATTTTCTTGCGAAGCTCGAGCGACGAAGGCGTCGATTCGAGGATGGCGCGGCGAGCGGCGGCGGCCTGCGACGCAGCGTCGTCAGGCGTGGCGGCTGGCGGAGACAGAGTAGAGTCGTCGGGTGGCGGCGAGGACGAGCCTTCCACCGGCGACGACGGCGGCGAGGTGACCGCGATGGGGACCGGCTCTGCAGTGGTGGGTGAGGACGAGGGCGAGGTGGAGGCAGCAGCAGCAGCGGCGGCAGCAGCAGCCGAGGCGGCGTGGAGGCCCTGTTCGAGGTTGTCGTCATCGTAGTCGTCGTCGTCATCATCGAGGTGATGGTGGAGGATGCGCTCTGCGTTCTCCCAAAACTCGTCACGCGTGGCGTGGGAGGAGGCGTCAAACCAGGCACGAGCAGCCTCTGAGATGACGTTGTTCTGCGCGCCGAGAGTGACGGTCTCGCCGAGGGCGGTCTGGATGACAGTGGGAGCGCGGCGGTTGAGCAGGTTTGTGAGGCGCTCGTCGAGGAGGCCGACAAACATCATAATGTTCGCCTCTGTGATGTCGTCCTTGGACGAGGCGATCGAGTCGTCGATGGCGTTGGCAGACTTGCACATGGAGAAGAGCGCGGCTCGGAGCGAGAGGAAGAGCTTGCGGTAGGACGAGGCCTGTGCGGCGAGCGAGGACTTTTCCGACTCGAGAATGTGGACCTTGTTCTCGATGCGGGAGATTTTCTTGAGCGAGGACGAGTCGTAAGCCGACGAGTGACGTTCGAGCTGGCGCTGGAGCTGGGTGTTGGCCTCCTTGGCAGCGGCCAGGTCCTGCTGGGCGGTGTGGAGGCGGGAGACAAGGTCCTTGTTGGAGTCGTCGACGTTGACAAACTGGGCGAGGGCAAGATCGAGGTTCTGCTCGCCGGTCACCTCTTGAATGCGCTGGAGAGCGAGCTCGAGGGTGGAGAGCTCGCCGTCGCCGTCGGTCGGGCCACCGGTGCCGCCGCGGACATCCTTAGTCATCCAGCGCGAGAGGACGATGGCAGTCTCGACCGAGGTCGACGGGCGCTGCGAGGAGAGGAGCGAGCCGCGGTTCATCTCGCGCTCGAGGTTTCGCGAGTAGATGATCTCCTTGATCTGGTTGTCGTTGACAAGAGTGGCCTTCATGCGGCCGAGCTCTGTCCGCCACGCCTTCTTCTCCTGCTCGACGTCTGCACGGAGAGTCGCCATCTCGGCCTCCTTAAAGGCGAGGGCGTTCCGCGCAGACATGAGCTGGAGAAGCACGTCCTCGCGCTCGGCAAGCGCTTTGTTGAGCTTGTCCTCAAGCTTGGAGTAGCGTGCGGTGAAGATGCGGCGCTCACGGAGGAACTCGCCGCGCTCGAGCTTGAGCTGCTTGGCGAGCGCGTCGCGGTCGTTGGCCTTGACATTGGCAAACTCGACCTGGAACTTCAACGACGAGATGAGCTTGCGCATCGACTCGATGCTCCGTGCGTGGCGAGTTGTCGGCTTGTGCTTCTTGCCCAGATGGCTCAAGTCGACGGTGCCGAGTTGCGACGTGGTGGCGTCGTCACCAGCATCCGATCCACCCAGCGTGGAGGCCTGATCCGTAGCATGAGAGGTGCGCCGAACAGACCTGCCTGAGGAAGGACGATCAGCAGCACCCGCTCGACGAGGAGTACCGCGTGCGCCGGCGCGGGCGTCGTGGTTGTCTGGAGAGCGGGTGAGGCCGAGAGCAGCTTCATCCTCCCTCCTCAACCTTCGTTCTCTATCCAGCAACAAATTCAGCTCCTCAATGGTTGCCCGAGCCTTTTTCGCTTCATGCATGGCAGTATCAGCCTCCCTCCTCCTCAGCACCACCTCGTCTTGCAGTCGGGCAATACGCGCATTGGCCTTGACCAACTCGGCCAGAGCAGGCGCTTCAGCAGGGCGGACTGTTCCAGAGCCAATGAGTGAAAACGCTCTCTTGGCAAGTGGGGAAGATGGGACATGTGGACGGGACATGGTGGGGGTGGGGTGAGGGGGGTGAGGGGGGTGGGTGGGTGAGGTGTGGCGGTGGGTGGCGGGTGATCGTGATCGTGTGGCAACGGACAGGGGGGGGTGGTTGGGGGGGGGGGGGGGGGAGAGGGGCGAGGGGGGGGGCAGGA